GAGCCCTGGCAGCAGGGGATGCTCCTGGCACCAGGGGAGCAGAGGATTGGTGGCTGCGCCTCTGGAATCTCTCCTGGAGAGGGTCATTAGAGGGAGTAATTGGGATCACCTTACTTTACAAATGTTACTTTGCAGAACGAGACAGGAAGACAGATCGATCTCAACTATTATTCATTAAGGAAAGTCCTTTATAAATCCCAAATTAACAATTTCTCTCGGAGAGAGCCTTCCCATTACCCTCCTTTGGCAGGGACTTATTGCCACTCTGGAAACGGGGAAATTTGAAAATAACTGGGGAGGGGGGAGAAATAGCAGCTGTGGGCTTAGGAGCCCAGCATCTGGTTGGAAAAAAAAATACAGATGTGTGTCTTAAAAATGACCGTGAGCCTAACTCAGAGGGGCAGTGTTTCTGACAGACACTGTGAGCCCACGGCTGGAACCAGGCTCAGAAAAGCCCGAGTGGCTCCTCAGCAGCTGAGAGATTCTTTGTAAATGCTCTCCATGGCACAGCTACAGGTTTGCAGGAGGTCTCTGCTGTCACCCATCCCCTCCACGCTGAGAGGGAATGGGGACAGAAAGCTGCTCCCGCTGCTCGGGCTGGGGAACTCTCTGCACTGGTCTTTGCCATTGCTGCTGGGCAGAGATGAAATCACCCGGGGTGTGTTGCTGCAATTTGAGGGTCTGGCTTGGTGTTTGGGGTGGGCAGAGAGAATTTCAACCCAAATCCTCTTGGGGTTTCGGGTGAAAAGCATTAAGACAATTTTTTTCCAAGCAGCGGAGGAAAACTAAACAGTTGTTGCTCCTTAAAAGCTCAGAGGTGCTTTCCGAGTTGGTTGCAGGGCATGGAATTCTGGCAGGAGGGTGGCCTAGTGGTGGAATTGCGAAGGAATTGTGTATTTGATAAGGTGTCTTACCCCCAGCTGCCACATTTAGGGTGATGGGATAAGCCCCGAGGATGGTGCAGGAGGATTTGTGGTGAAGAGATGTTGCTGTGGCCCTGAGGAGCTGACAGGTTTGTTTCGAGTCAAGGCTGCCAGCAAATTACCCGAATTCCTTAATTTGTATAACCCATTCCCAAGGCTTCTTTTGCCCGTTCTGGAAATGCCAGCAAGGGAAGCAGATGTTTCTTAAAGGGCTTTTGGGGCCAATCCCACATTTTCCCCACAACATTTCCAAGTACAGATGCTTTTGCAGCAAAACCAAAAATCTTGAAGAGGATCAAAAAAAGGGAGGAGAACAGTAAAAAATTCTGTTTATTCTCAGGCAGTTGCAATTTTTATCACTTCAGGTAGTATCAAGACCTGTTAACTTTAAAATAAAAAAATATCACGGCTAATGGCCCTTTTGGAGAGGCCATTTTTGGGGTATTGGCGCGTTTTCGAGAAGATTGGGAGCTCCAGGCACTTGGCACTACACAGTCAGCTCCTCGCTGTTGGTAAGACTCTCCTGCAAAATTATAAATGCGAATCCCCGGCTTGTCTTTTGCTCCGTTAATTAATAGGATGAGAGCACTAAAAGCGCTCCCCCGGAGCCGGCGATGGGCCCTTCGCCGCTCCTCGCGGCCCCTCGCCACCGATGCAGCGCTCCCGGCAGCCCAGCGTCCGCAGCCCAGCCTTCCCCGCCGTGCCCCCGCCCGGTGCTGATCCTCCCGGGGGACTCGCGGGGGATGAATTCCCGCTCCCCGCAGCTGCCGGCGCGGAGCATCCCCGGCGCCGCCGCCGCAGCGGAGCCCGGAGCGGCGGGAGCGGCGGGAGCGGCGGCTCGGGGGAGCCGGGATCGCTGCCGGGACCGCGGGGATGCTCCGGCCGCTGCCCCCGGGGCACGGGGGGATGCGGGCCGTGCCTTGCCGGGGGTTCCCCCACGTTGGGTTGTCTGTAAAAGGCGGAGCGCGGTGCGAGCTGCCCCACACCCCCCCCCGCCAACCAAACCGGAGGGTTTTGCTCGTAGCTAAAATCTTTACAAATTCTGCGGGCATTCCGTAGGATCGTTTTGCTTTTAGCTGAAATAGCCCTTTTCGGCGTGGTTTTACGGGTTTGACTCAATCTCCTGCCAAAGCTGGCAGCCTGGGCACCGAGGAAACGCCGCCTTTTAGTTGGGAGCCGAGATTCTGGGAGATGAAGCAGAGGTTTAAAATCCACGTGGCTCCATTAAAAAAAAAAAAAAGGCAACAAACGAAGAAAACAAAAGTTCCCTCCAACCATCCTTCCTTCTTTCCTTCCATCCTCCATCAGGCCTGCTCGGAAAGGCGGCCTTTGGCTTCTCCCTCTTGCCAGGCTGAGCCCCGGGGAAAGTTGGGCGAGTAAGTTCTCGGAGCCGGAGGGAGGGCGGCACAGATCGATTGGCGAGTTTAATAGGATCAGGTCAGTGTAATCCTGTTTTAGCCATTGTAATTCAGGCAGCCAAGGAGACCTCAAACTATAGGGGAAGGGGCTTTTAAAACCTCAGCGGTCCTGCCACAAAGCCAGAGGCTGGGGCCGGGACAAAAGCGGGAGAGAGGATGAAGTGGCTTGAAATAAATAGATTAAGGCTCTCTATGGTCCAGGCGTAGCGGGAGGGAGAAAAGAGCAAGCAAGGGGCGGGCGAGCATCCCGCGGCGGCGGGAGAGGACGGAAGGGACCCGGCACCCAGGGGGGACGCGGGGTGGCCGGGCACAGCGTCCCCTCCCGGTGCCGCCCCCTCCGCGCTGCCCGCCTTTCCGAAGGCTTGGGATAGGCAATCAATTTTTACGGTGCAATTTATTATTCACACAGGTTGTCTTCGTACATATGGTGTTGCTTTTGTGCGTCAGGGTGCCGGGTGCTTTATGACGGCGGCGGCGGGGGTTCGCTTCCCGGCCCCATCGCTCTCCTCACGGCCCACGGAGATGGACGCAGCCCCGTGGGACACCTGAGGGGTGATGGGGGGGGTCTCTTTACCGCCCGTGGGGGACGGGGAGGATGCTCAGTCCTCCGGGAGAGCATTCCCAAGGGAGCGCAGACCCCCGGCCCCTCCCTGCGGGTGTCGGGGTCGGCCCCGGGGGTGCCCCCAGCTCCCCCCGGCCGGGCACAGCAGGGTCCCTGTGGCATCCCCGGGGCCAGCAGGGCAGGGAAAAGGCACGAAAAGCCGCAGCCCGGCCGGTCCCGGCTGAAATAATGACAGCAATTAAGGCAGCGCAAACAGAACGGGGGCAGCGCGGCCGTCCCCGAGCTGCGCTGGGTTCGGGGCCCCGGGCAGCCCCGGTGTGCCGGGCCCTGCGGCCGGGGGGGACCGAGGGGGATTTAAAGGCGCTGATGTCTTATTTAACAGCGAGGCAGCGCCATCCCAGCCCCGCTGCTGCCGAGCCTTAAAAACCCGCATTTGTGCTAAATTGAGAGCCGGGCTTTGCTGAGGCTGGCCGGGGCGAGCAGCAGAGGAGCCTCTCCGTCCCCTCCGACACTTTGGGTTCGCCGGCACCGCCGCCGCGCTCCCCGAGCACCGCAATTATTTGATCTGCAGATGTAAGAGGAATTTATTGGAACAACAAATATAGTGATGTCAAAACCCAACCTTGGATTAAAGCCGGCAGCCAAAGGGGAAGTGTATTAATTTCAAACAGCATCAGAGGCCAGTGCCTATTAGGACGAGCTATTCTTCAGACCCCCCCATCAGAATTAATCATTGGGAGTTAATTTGAAGCTCAGACAAGTTGCTGTTAATTTAGTGCAGGGAGGACGGGATGGAATAAAAAGCTGAGGTGCTGGCCGGGCCTCCTGGGTCTCATTAATCAGCGAGCTGAGACGGCCTGGCTTGATTACAATTTGCAAAAAAATTCATTAGAGCCTGGGCGATTGACAATTTTTCTCTCTGCCTGTGATCTGACTCATTAGGCAGCCAAATGAAAGCCATGATGATGGTGATGATGACAGCTATCAACCCCCTCGCTTGTTTATCTCCTTCTCCTCCGGCCCCCGGCCCGGGGCTTCCCCCTCCAGCCGCACTCCGGGTTACAGGGGGGGCAGCGGGGGACCCCAGCCCGCCGAGTGAATAATTCCCAGCGCCCGGGGCTGGCACAGGGAGGGATCCCCGGCGGGGGACGGGGGTGAGCAGCAGCTGCTCCTCCCTAAAATCCCGCACTTACAGCCCCGGCAGGGGGCACAGCCGGCGGTGGGGTGGGGGTGCACCTCGATTTGGGGATGCGCACCCCGATTTGGGGATGCGCACCCCGATTTGGGGATGCGCACCCCGATTTGGGGGCGGCAGGGCCGGGCAGCAGCCCCGCGCACCGAGAGCCACCCGGAATAAATTCAAGCAGTTCCAGAGATGATTTTTTTTTTTTAGAAGCAGCGCCGGGGGTGGCACGGGTGCGTTTGTCCCACGCGTGCCCCGCAGCTCCCGGCGTCCCCCCGCGCGCGGACGGACCCCAAGAATTGTTGTCATCATTCTTATGAATATTCCGTTTTTTTCTTTAAAGCAGCAGGCAGTGCCGAAAAGGCCGGAATTGATCGTGTTTTCCCGCTGCTCCCCGCGTGTCCGCGGCTGCCCGTGGGGCCCCCGGCGATGCTGGCCGGGGTTGTGCCTTTTTGGGGAGCGGCTGGTGGGGACGGGGACCCCCCCAATTTGCACTCCCGGAGCCACGGCCAACCCCCTCCGCCCCAAACAAAATAATATTAACAACATTAATTATTGTAATTATAATAAATAAGTGATGAAGCGCGAGCGATGTGACGCGGCCAAGCCTGGGAGCCTGTCCCGGGACAGAACGACCCCCCCGGTTTAATGATTTCATTTTAATAGACCCCTCCCCACCCCCCCCCACCCCTCCGGCGTTCCGTTTTCCTCGGGAAAATTTCATTTTTAATTCCAAATCGCCGCCGCCGAAGTCACGGTGGCACCGGCAAGGATGGAGCCGGGATGCGGATAATGGGGAGGGGGAAAAAAAAAAAAAAAAAAAAGGGATGAAAAGGATGCGGGAAGGGAAGGGGGGGACGCGGGACCCTTCGGCACCGACCCCTCCCACCCCCGATCCGGCCCCGGCGCAAGGAAAACGGGCGCGTGGCAGGGGGCAGCGGCTGCACCCCCCAAAAACCCCCAAAAACGGGGCTGGGGGAGGCAGAGGCGGCACCCCCCAAACACGGGCTGGTGGCAGCGGCTGCACCCCAAAACAGGAGCTGGGACCGGGGGGGGGGGGCGCGGGGCAGCTCCTGCCCCCACCCCCGCGGCCATCCCCGTTCAGTCACAGCCAAGCAGCTTTTCTTGCAGCTTTCCCTCAAAATAAGGAAAATAGGGGCGAAAAAACACCAAAAAAACAAAATAGAGAAAGTTTTCCATCCGGCTCCCTCCTCCCCGGCAATAAATGCGGCTTCGCAAAAGAAAAAAACCCACAAAAACAGAAAATCAAAAATGCAGGCGAGAGCAGCATCAGCCCGCTCCGACAGCGCAGGAGGGAAAAGGAAAATCAGCTCAACGCCAAATCCTGGACAGAACAGCCGGGAGCTGGAGGGGGTTTTTTTTGGCTTTTTTTTTTTCTTTTTCAGTCTTTTTTGTTTCTTTTTCAGTTTTTATTCACAAGACTTAGTTTGCTTTTAAATTTCATAATTTATAAGGAAATAAGCTACATTGAAATAAATTAAACACAATAGTGAAGATCGTGCTGCTTTGTTTTTTGTTTTCTTTTTTCTTTTGCCTTTCCCCACCCCCCCTCCCCTTCTCTCCTTTAACATGGCTTGGTAGAATAGGCAAACCTAATCGACAGAAAGCCAGGCAAAAAAAAAAAAAAAAAAAAAAAAAAAAAAAAAAAAAAAAAA